TTTGAAAAGTTTGATCAGGTCACATGATTTTATCAACAAGCTTGCTACCTGCTCGATTTCCATAGAACTGCAGCTGTTCAAATTTCAGTTTATTCTCTAGTTCATATTTCAGTTACCACTTAATTGAAAGCTAATTCTTGTTCTTTCCTGGCGTTCTAATCATTGTTTTCTTTGTGCATATAAACTGGGACCTTACTGTTACATTTTTACTTGCTTTTATACATTTCCTTTCATACCATACCTTCAGCAACCTTTGTTGCTTTACACCATGGTAATAGTTTTTCTTTTGAAATTGTATAAACTAATTAATACATTGGATAGTCAATTTTTTCTGTTTCAAGAGGAATAATATTAATAGCTGTTTCACAAATGTATCACATACAAATAAGATCTGTGACACTGTTTTATTATGTTTCATTATTGAATAAATCTATTCAGAGTAAACTGGTGTCTTTTCTTTTATGTTAACCTAATAACAGTATAGTGCAAAATAATATTCAAAGCTTCTGGCATGAATTTGCAAAAATCTGTTTTTACTGTCACAAATATCTTTAAAATAGGGAAGGGAATTATATTCTATACTCCACAATATCTTCACAGCACTTTACAAAAAAAAAGATGTCGACTTGTATTTTTGCCAGCACTGGATTCGAGCCTGCGATCCTGTGAATTTCTCTCTTTTCTCTTCCCCATTTTCTCCCCCCTTTTTCCCCTTCTTCCCCACCTTATATAGACTATTGTTCCCCAGCTTAACCATAACCACTGAAGGGAGCATCTGAGTGTGAAGTGTGAATAGCATAATTAGTACATTTAAATTAAATGTGCATAATTAATGTTACTGCTATTAATAAACACATTATTCACAAAACAAAAAGGAATAGCTGGACAAACAAACTTAATCATAAAACATCTGATCTGTTAGAAAAATACAGTGGACCCACTTAAGATGTTCTTAACCCATGTACTAAAACAAAGCACTGTCTTTACCTTGTACAAAGAGTATATTTTATGGCTGCTTTGTAAAAGACAGTTATGTAGTCCAAAACTCATTTGTAATAGGTAGTCCTACTGCCTGAACTTGCTCTATTGTTTTCATTTTCTCACTCTCTCTTTTTAAAATTAAATAGGTGTGTGACACCTGTCTGGTACAAAACCACCAGAACTCACAGGTTTATATTGCTGAGTCAGCCAGAGCAGGAGTGAGCAAAAGCAACACTCAGAATTCAGAGCATCAAGATTTATTGTGACCATCAAACATTAGGGCATTAAAATGACATGTTAGGGCAAGTGCTTTAAAAATTGCTGAGCTAGAGGGGGATATCAGGAGCATTCAATGTCTCTCATCAGGTTAAAGCAAAAAGGGGCAGGTCCATCTCTCCCATCCCTTTTGTCTCACCATCCTGTTAACAAAATATATATTATTGTAGCTATAAAGGCTCAAACCCCATAAAATTTATGAAAAGTTTTTTTCAACAAAACATTGCTCATGCTTCCTCTGTTCCATCCACACAGTGGTCCCACAGGAGCTGGAGCTGCTCGCCATCACTCTCCTACTGCTACTGCACACTTTGCTCCAGTAATAAGGGCAGCCCTAAAAATAATGTTATTTTCATTTTTTGCTCTTCAGGCTCCTTTAGCACAAGCTGTTTGCAGTTCCTGTGTATATAATATTATGAAAAGAGAAAGTACTTTGAAGTGAGAGAATGTTCGACAGAGAAACAAGCAGCAGTCATGACCACAGCGTAGTCCTCTCTGTATTTTATGAGGTCTTTTCTCAGGCTCAGTAGCAGGATGTGATGAGAACACAATAACAAGATTTGATCCCATATCTCAGACCAGTGTTTACATGTCACTGAGACTCAGAGCTGTTGGCAGATTTCAGTTAAACAGTGCTTGAAACAAGAAGAGCAAAGGCAGTTATCCAGGTTCCCATTTTACTGTCAGGTCTTTAGCATGCATTTTGAGTGGTGGCATCATGGAAATATAAACTCCCTCAGCTAGTAGTTTATTTTAGGATTTGAGTGATCTATTTAAAAACAAGATTATAAACTATCTTCTCAATTCACTGACCTCCCTTTTGCACTTAAGACTGTAAGCTTGCCTTTCTTCATTCTTGCCAGTATGAGCATGATCCTTGTATTACCCGCTGTGGAAACCAGAGTTATTTTTATGGAACATCAGTGCTAGTTAGTACTAGTTTTTACTTAATTTATACAGCATTTCTCTAAATCCTTTTGCTGTCACAAGATTAATGTCCCCCAGGGCTAGTCTCTGTGTCCAGAGATCGGGTCGTCGGGGCCCCTGCCTTCGACTGCTGCCCAATCCACTGTGCACCGGCGCCTTACGGAACCTCCTGCAGGTGGTGGGCCCACGGGAGGACGTCCCCACGTCACTTGTTCGGGCTAAGCCCGGCCGGGTCCCGTGAGGGGAGGCCCGGCCACCAGGCGCTCGCATTTGAGCCCCAACCCACCCGGGAGGAGCTCAGAGTAGAACCACTGCTCCTCCACATCGAGAGGAGCCAGCTGAGGTGGCTCGGGCATCTGTTTCGGATGCCTCCTGGGCGCCTTCCTAGGGAGGTGTTCCGGGCATGTCCCACCGGGAGGAGGCCCCGGGGAAGACCCAGGACACGCTGGAGGGACTATGTCTCTCGGCTGGCCTGGGAATGCCTCTGCATTTTCCCGGCGGAGCTGGAGGAAGTGTCTGGAGAGAGGGAAGTCTGGGCATCTTTGCTTAGACTGCTGCCCCCGCGACCCGGTCCCGGATAAGCGGAGGAAAATGGATGGATGGAAGATTAATGTCTACACTACCAGGCAAATATTTGGGCACACTGTCCCATTCAGTTCAATAGGACAGTGTGCCCAAACTTTTCACTGGTAGTGTATTAGGAATACACATTCCTTTTACATTTGCACAAGTGAATGGGCATCTCTCTCTTCCATATCAGCACACTATCCCCATGACTATATTCTATACTCTGTATACTAATGAATGTCACAATAAATTGTTGCAGATAATACACAAGACACCACTGCTATTGTGATAAATGGTAAGGAGGTAGACATCATGGAGTGCACAAGTATAAATTCTCACAACAGTGTAGACCACTTACACAGTCTGTGACATAGGCTCTATGTAGATTAAACACAGAACCATAAATCAAGCTTTATTTTAGATCCACACTCACTCACTTCCCACTTGTGTATTTACATAGCCAGTATAAAAGCCAGCACTTGGCATTCATTCTTAGTCATTCATTCATTCATTCATTCTGGAATCAATGTCTCCTGTATAATCCTATTTACCTGTATTCCTCTATGCTAGCCTTAGTATCTGCCATAATACTTAACTGTTTTAGTCATCATGTCTGTGCCAGTGATCTTACCTGCCAGTCTGTGCTGCCAGTGTTCTGTGTTGTATTTTCACTTTTCATCACAATCACCTTGCTATCTGTTCCTGTGCATTTGTGTCCAAATATAAAATACTAATGACACAATATATGGCCCTAAACAGTGGAAAGTAAAAAGAAGTGGTGGTGGCATGTACTTTCTGCTAATAATACCACAATGCAATGCTCCGTGTTTCATGGATAAGATAAATATATGGACGTCTTAAGGACCTCTAAATCCCTGACCTAAAGATGGTGCCCGACCACTCGCGGAAAGGGCAGGGAAACTCATTTGAATGGACTACAGGTAGTGATGGGCAATCAAGGTTTTGTTGAAGCTTTGACACAGTATTCACAAAAATGGTTCATTACTCGGGGCCTCAATGACACAGTGCTCGAGTAGGACATCTAGTGGTCAAGAAAATGAAGTGCAATCAAGATATGTCTGGTTCATGGATTGTTTTGGGATTTGATTCACCATACACATTCGACTACACTACATGGTTGTATGGTTTCAAGCTGACACAATAAAATATAAAATAAATATGGACTCGTGTTGAAGACCATGTGTCTTATTTGGCACGTCTGAGTGTAACCCTATAGGCTCCTCACTTACATTTTCTGTTATGAAAACATTTAAATGGTGCTACTACATTCATGAGATGTGTTCTACAGATTCAGACAGATGTCATTCGCGCATGGGACTGGTGCAAATACAGATTATAGTATGGCCCTTGGCAAGATGCGTTTTGGGGTTCATTGGTAAAGAGGTTCATGGGTATGTGGGTAAAGAGGGTGTGCTTATGTAATTGTTTATGAGTTTTTATTGAGAAATAACAGTAAATCCACAGTGTTCGGACACAAGCAGTTTCTTCTTTTACAGACTATTTCCCCAGCCTTGGAAAAAACCCGTTCACATGGCACACATGAGGCTGGGGTACACAGGAAATGCTTGGCTAATTTATAGAGGTTTGGGTAAACAGTTTTATGGGTGGCCCAGTATGTGAGGGGGTCATCAGTTCTTTCCAGGTGAGTATCAGCCAGGTATCGGTTCATTTCCACAACTGCATTAGCTGTGGTGCTTTGCATGTGCCTGGCTCTGTATGCATATATCTTATCTATATCTAACGTTATTTAGGACTATCTATGTAACTATATATATCTAGTGTTATCTAACTATGTAACTATTTTATCTATTTCTCTATGTAAATTACTATCTATCTATCTATTAATCTATCTCTCTATCTACAGTGATTCCCCACTAAATACACAATCTGCTACAACACTACTAACTCTCAAAGCAACTAATGCAACAACAGCAACAAACCAACCTGCTCTGCAAAATAGGGATATCCTATCTCTGAACACACTCTATCCTGCAAAGTGATTCACATGACAAACTGAACCAATCAGCTGATTTGTATGACATCGGAGGCACTCAACTGCTTCGGACGTCACTCAAGTGTTCAAACGTCACTAGTCACGTAACCAAAAGACGCCTCGGAACAGTGGTTCGATACAATTACTTAATGAGCTACTGCGCATGTGTCGGAGCCTCCGATGTCAGAGGACGATCCCTAACTAGTAGTGATGGCCATCTGACACCGAGGCCTCGATACATGATTCGAGCTCAGAGAGGGGTCTCCCGCGAAGCACTGCCTCGAGGCTTGTATCATTGCCGAAAAGACACGTGACTGATGACGTCCGACACAGAAACGGCTGGCCTGAGTGACTCCCGTGAGCAGTTCAGACCGTTGATACGGTGTCACGACGTGAAATATTCGCTACGCGCGACAGCAGGTGCGTAGGGGTACTATAAAGCCACCCATGATGATGGGCAACATGTGGGTTTGTCGGCGTAGTAGGTGTGTGCTTAGTTACTGTCGGTATGATTACTGCTGCTGGTGTGTAATTGTTTCTCCATCCTTTGTATTTATTCACACCCTGTTCTAGTTATATACGCACATATTACCATCCTAGCACATCCTCTGTTTCCCCAAGCACGCTTTCTCCCACCTACTACACTACATACGTTCATAGACTCGACCGACTGACCAATCAATCTTTACAAACGTTTTCACATCATTCACACAAAGCCTAGTTACACCCATCACATAATTCAGACATTGTTCTGCTGCATACTATTTCGCCACCAGATGGCCCAAAACCGAACCTTTGAATGAATGAACCAATACTCGATACAAATGATGAAGTGGTTCCATACAGGTGTCATGGTGTCAATTGTACATCACTACTAACTACAGGGCCACACGAGGTGGTGATATTAACTGATAATGGTAATTGAAATGGCTCAACACCAGTCAGTCAGAACTGATGAAGCCTCTTGGATGAGAGGTGAAACGTCTTCGACCTAGAAATCTAAGTCCAGTTGATTTTTTCTAAGTTTTTTCAGTTTACCTGGATAACTGAGAATCTGCACAGGTAATGGTAATTCCTGAAAATAGGCTATTACGCAACTATAAAGTGTGACAAATATGCAAGTTAAAATAACAGAGTTGAGAGAGAAGAGTTTATGGAGGTTTATTGAAATGCTGGTGTTCCCTTTTGGTAGCTGTGTGCCGTTATTGTGTGCCAGCAGCCCTAATGTATCGTTTCCGCTCCGTTAGCTGAAGTTGGAGAACCCCTGGCATCCAATAGGAGAGCCGGATTCGTCTGACGTCATCTACAGCCTGGCTAGCAGCCCAGAGTGGACGGCTGGCAAGTAGGATTTTTATTATTTACAATGAAATGCATGTGGAAAAACAACCTTAAAAAGTCCCGTTTATGATCGAATTTGACATTGGCATAGGATTGCCCAGGATCGGCTGCAGTTTAATGGCATTTTGTTCACTATTTCTGAGATCGCTAGCATACATGCTAGCATTTTCGTGGCTTTTGAAGTTAGCATACTTAAACGTTTTTTCACGCCGTTTGTTGTGTGCGCTATTTGCCTTGGTTGTGTGCTGGCTAGAAAATGTAACAGGCACAATCCCGTATAAAGTGGGATCGCAGCTAATCCTATAATCCATCGTTTGTGTTCTGCCCTCTGGTTTTCCTCTTCAAAACCACCAGCCGCTACAGTGGCTGCAGCGGTGTGCAGCACCGTGGCCCCTCCCCCTCGCGGTGTCGACACACACAGATCAAAGGCTTTCCTCCCAGGTACTTGCAAGTATTCGGTAGCTGGTGACAGCATAGCTTCTGCACTCAGGAGTATATTTGCAGTATATTTTTCTATGAAAAATTTAAAATGAAGATGTTTTTACATTCCATAACGGATTTGGACTGAACGGACAGTACACTGAAGATATCTTTATTTCACATTTTGATTAATGTTAATTGCAAATATCTTAAATTATAGTTTGGGATAATCATAAATACATTTGCAGATATATCAAATGTAAATCCTGTCCACCTATTCAATGTTTAAAAGCCCATTGTTTGGGGTGGGCAGTGTGCACCCGGTAACAGGAAGCAACGTAATTACATTGTACCTCCCCAGGATTCAGTTCGGTATCATGGCGGACACCAGGGAGAAAGCGCTGCAAGACTACAGGAAAAAGCTGCTCGAGCACAAAGAAGTTGACGGCCGATTAAAAGAATGTAAGAGGTTATATAACTATGATGTTAATATTTTGGCAGAAATGCCTGTTTGCTTAGATTAAATTATGTTACATTTTATTGGATAGTCAGAATCAGTTAGCTTGACAGCTAGCTGGTGCTTTGTCATGCAGCTAGCATCTTCGTAGAAATGAATGGAAGGAAACGCTTAAAGCTAGCAATGATAACTTTTGTAAGGAAGAGTCGACAATCATTCGTAACGTTATGACTAACATTTAGATGGGTTCCAAAAACCACTTAACGTTAACCCGTGCAAGCACTGCTTTTGTATAGTGTTGTATTTTTCTAATGTTATTATGAGCCTTAACGTTACGTTAAGTATATTCGGGACAGCTAACGTTAACCTAAGTTACATTAACAATGTTTGTTTGACAGTGCCAGTTACCAGGAATCGACTGAGTTTGTGTTTAATAGGGAAATATAGAAACAATGCATTCTCTTTGTTTTCCAGTGAGAGAACAGCTGAGAGAACAAACCAAACAGTATGAGAAATCAGAAAATGACCTAAAGGCTCTGCAAAGTGTTGGCCAGGTAACAATACTTTCACCTTTTTACGTTTCAGCTCTTTGAATTTCAACAATATTGCAGACAGTCAACATAAAGAGCTGCATGATCATGGAGCACACTGCCCCTGTTTTGAAAATTGACCATCAAGTCAAGTCAAAGTATTTATTGTCATATGCACAGTACGGAAACGCATTCCCCTGTACAATGAAATTCTTACTCTGCTGTCCACATGAGTGCCACACAATTCAAGTGAAATATAAAGTTGATAAATAAGTAACACAAAATTGAAAGTCACTTTAAAGCAGCAAATGAAGAGATGTAATAAAAATATATAAGGCTATAATAAGAATGTGTGCTACATGGGAGTGGCATGTAACTGAAACTAGACTTAGATATACAGTACACTGTAGGGGTAACATTAGTAATATTTGATCTATTATATTTTCTATTGTCGCTGCAGTATGTCATAAATAATTTGTAAACATCCCTGGTATCATTATGGGAGAAATTCAAGTAGGTGGAAATTTGAGACAGGAATAGATTTTTAACCACAAGGTACAAAAACTTTGGCTTTGTCATAGTAGCTATAGCTGTGAAACCGGAAGTTGTAAATTTGAAACGTTTATGTTTTGGAGTCACAAAAAGTAGGATAAATGTATTAATCTGTGAAACATTAGCTGTCAGTATCTGGTCAAGCAAAAGAAGTGGACTTGTGAAAGTGTGATTGCCTGCCAGCCATTTCATATAAGAGGCAAGGAACTTCCCTGCTAACAAGATGGTAGCAATGAACCCATTGTGTTACAGACTGATCAAATATATATATATATATGGTATACTATGTGTTTATACAATCTGATTACATTTAAAATTCAGCAGGGTTTTCATTTTGATATTTTAGTATAATACAGTCAACTCATTTTCAAAATCTATACTTTGAGCAAATGCGTTTTGGAGATGTGGTTAAATGTATATTTGGTGAAGGTTCCTATCATTATTTTTCAGCATGTTTATCACACATACCAAATTTTCTTTGTGTTATCCACCCTAAATTAAAGATTCAGTGAATAGGAACAGTGGAGGGACTTACCTACAAAAAACTGAATATATTCTGCCTCTAACCAAATGGTTCCACCTGTTCCCCACAGATTGTTGGAGAGGTGCTCAAGCAGCTGACTGAGGAGAAATGTAAGTTCACTGGCAGATATCATTTACATGTCATGGCACAGGTGGTACCTGTAAATGAATGTCTTGAGAATTTACCCTCCTCTCAGGGTCAAGGGGGCAACATGGTTCAAGCATCACTATGTGCGTGGCCTGCAACCATCAGTGTGCTCATACTTGCAGTGTGAGGCTTTGTTGGATTTGCCACTGTGCTCTGGCACTACAGAGGGAATGAAATTCTGGTTGATGAGGAGGGACGGGTTGTCGTGTTTGTGGTATTTGCTGTATAGTCACAAGAAAACAGTAACAGCACTTTGCATTGTCCCATTTTTTGCATAAATTGGTCATGAAATGTGATCTGATCTTCACCAAAGTTATAATTGCAACTGTATGTTGAGGAATGAACATGATGGTCTGGTCATATTCTGACCAGATGGGGAGATAAGATGGCAAGTTCATTAAACTTCTGAAACCAATGTACCTCAAAGATGATGAAACGCACTTCTAGGTTTGTTTGTTTTTTTTTAGATATCTGCAGATAAATTTGTTTTACTGCATCGAATTAAGCCCTTTTTAGAGCTGATGTCACATGATACTACAAAGCTGCTCACTGGCAAGGAGCCTGGTGCTGTATCATGCAGAGTTTCAAAAAAATGATGAGCCAGGCTTTTTTGGGGGTTGGTGATATGTTGGCTGGGGGGGGTTCCCCCAGCCAGTAAGCATTATGGCTGCACCAGCTGCTAACATGTATTACATATGCTAAAAGCCTTCATGGCGGTCTGCCACGCCAATGAGACCTCATGCCGTGCCGGCACGACAGGCCGATTTTTGTTTATTTTTTTGTTTAATGCCGTCCAATATACACTCAATTAGAAATAATTATTTGCATTTGTGCCTGTCAAGGTGTTTCTCTCCATGTCTCCACCCTGCTTCAATCTGATTCGCTTCTGATAGCTCTGGTAACAAAAATGAACAGGCCCCAGAATACATGAAAAACATGAACAAGAGTGACCCGAGAATATGGCTTTTATTGTATTTCAGTGTATTGCATACACTGAGGTTTATGGAAACGGGGTGTTATCTCCACTGATGCTCCTCCAAGTTAGGTTACTTAATATTTTCTCTTGGATCCACAATGTCACTGCATTTGTCTCTTGTCTGCACTTTCAGTAGACTACACCAATGTTACAATGTGTCTGTTATAATAGTTTAACATAGTATAACACTGTTATCTCAGAGCAAATCTGTGTTGTAATGAAGTTTGAGTGATTTCTCATAATGCAACTAATGTTAATAAAATGTAACATTAAATTATTTGGCTGCTGTTGATGCTAATGAGAGCATGGCACCACGGCACCACCTAACGAGGAAACCAGGGGATGCTCAGCCAAAATATTAGTTTTTCTCCAAAACTTTGGAGACAGATGAATATGAGGTAGAGAAGTGGTAGAAGAATTGAAGAGAGGGGCAGAAGGGCGGCGCTGATGGCTCTGGTGTTGGTGTAAGCATCAGTGTTGCAGCTATACAGGCTATGGGCCAAATGCAGGCTGCATGTGGCTGTGACCCAGAGCTGTGGGAGAATTTTCATTCAGTGATGCCATGATGAAAATATTTTCAACACCAAGAAAAATTAAGTGCAGCCATGAGTTGTGCACACTGAGCTCATGATGAGAAAATGAACAGGTTGTTTCAAATTGCTGAGCAGTTCAAACTGCAGTTTGCACCAACAGGAGTTTTATTTCATTAGGTGGATTTTATCTTTAAAAAATAGTTTGTTCTTTCTTCTATTTTGAAGTAATAGGTAGCTTTGACAGTTATTTGTGTGCAAAATACTTCTCAATACTCTTATGTGGTGTTGTATAGAAATTACCAACCAAATGTGTAGTGCTGTATGAGAAATAAATAACCATACATTTTAGTTCATGTGTGCAAAACCTCCTATCATCCTCTTGCCACCATTCCTGAAAAGTTTTCTGGGGGAAACGCCAGCAGTGAGAAAATGATACAGGCCTTATCTGAAAACCTGGTGAGCCTGGCTTGTTTTCTGCTGTTGCTCCACCTCAGCTGCATGGCTTGGCTGGCCCTGCTCCAGGCCTATTCACCCGTGAAGAACTCTACTCAGTTGGTTTCAGTTCATTTAGGCTTACAAATGGACACAGACAAACTAAACCAACGTATTTCAGTGATGAAGGTCATCAGTTATTGTTCTTCATCCCAACAGAACATTACTCATTTATTCCTCTGTAGTGCCCCACTCTCACGTTTCCAAATCTTATCACTCTCAACATAACCCAAGTCTGAACTGCATGTAGTTGCATTAATGGATAGGCACAGCTTATATTTTATGATGAGCTTGCATGTATGGAAAATAATGTGTGTATTGTGGTGCTCTCCGTTACGATTGGGGGTATGTCTGAATTGAGCCGTGAGGAACATTAACATAAAAATGACCTATGCCTGATTGACAAAGTCATGGCTTTAACAGATTGAGGCCAGTAATATTATGTATCTTGTGCATTAACATACCTCTCAGAATTGTTGCGTGCCACCTCGATCAAGAGTGGTATACAATCAGCCACTTTTCAATTTTGGCACTGCTTCCTCTTGAAGTTTGGTAACCAGTGGCAACAGCCTGCACTGGAACATGGTAAACCGTGTTTAGTTCAGATATGCAGTGATGTTTTTTTGTTTAATTTCAGTCATTGTCAAAGCCACCAACGGTCCCCGATATGTGGTCGGATGCCGCAGACAGGTAGGTACTGAATACATGCTTATGTATCAATCATCCTGTAATTTATTTTCATTTGTCAAACAAAAGCAAATGTATTGCAAACATCTCTGCATATGTTTGTGTTTTGACTCAGAATCTGAGCCTGTCATAAGCTGTATGGATGGTAGTTTTAAACCTTCAAATCAGTTTTGATACCTTTTGAAACAAGCAGTGTTTTGAAATGCTTTGGATCATTTCAAAACAGTGCTAATACGCAACCTGCTGGCAAGCAGCTAAACTGCTGTTATAGCAGAAATGGCATTGCTGCAAATTCGCAAAGCCTGGACAATCTGTCAATATGTGTAATGAAATTTATTATTTTTTTTAACATAGGTTATGTCTAACTGGCATACATCAAGGAGTAGGAATTTTAAAAGAGTTTCACTGTTAATTGCTCTTGTGTATGGTTCTAAGACCATTCTTGCACTAGTATTTGGTTTCTTATTATTTCTATCTTTTATTTCCTTGTGAATTTATTATAACTTTATATTCTATTCAGTCAGGTTCCCCTCTTGTCTGTTACCTGAATTGAAATGACACCAGTTTAAGTGTTTTAAAGACACCTCTGTAATTAATATCATTCCTGGGCCAGTTTTGGAAAACACCCTTTCATAGCACAGATTTTGCTGGGATAACCAGGAACATTTTTGCAAGTTTGTACAGGAGAGCGAACATCCTGGAGTTCTGTTCCCAGTATGCATTTATATCTTCGCCTCTGGCCAAATGTCTATCAGCCATCAAGCACTGAACTTCCAATTATGGTATCTACTATAGGATTTTGTTGTCCTCTCACCCGGCAAACCTTTTGGTCAAAGGCCTACCAAACCCTGCATAAATCTGTCAGAAAAACAATTTAATGTCTGTATTTGTACATTATGAAAATATTTGCATGATTTTAACACTACACTGTCTACACTTCTCTTCCTCACTGGAAATTGCATCAAAACATTCCCAGGCCTTAGATCTAGGTCTCTTGATGCCCCACCCCTCCATTATTCCCTATTACTATCTAATTGTAACCTAATTCTACTTAAATGTGCCTATGTATGTATGTATGTATGTATGTATGTATGTATGACTATGTTTATAATTTATGTATAACTTATATACTGTAAGAAAGTATGAAACAATCTGTCAAACTTCACCATAGTATTGGTTTCTCTGCCTCAGGTAGTTGATTCCCGGGCAGTTTTTTTTTTTTTTTTTTTAATAAATTTGACAACAGTGGTATCAATGCACCTTATAGTTTTATCTGTTTTGGGTGACAAATTATATATCTGGCAAATGCATCTGAATTTACTTGTATATTTCCCATATTTTGAATGATTTTTTTTTTATAAAGTCAAAATTAAAACATCAGTCATTTAAATCAATATTTATTGATGCTTTTGTGGACAAGTTCCAAAGTTGCTAACACATTCATCTGTGTAAATGATGACATCATTGTTTAGAATAGGAGCTCTGTAATCTATGTTATGCTTTTCATCCCAGTTGGACAAGTCACAGCTGAAGCCAGGCACCAGAGTTGCTTTAGATATGACTACACTCACTATAATGAGGTAGGCTTGATACATTCACTTTTAAGTATTGCCACTCAGAAAATGTGAGATTCAAAATGTCTGGTCAGACTGGCTCTCCCATGATGATACTTCATGAGAGTCAGGGTTTCCCCACTTTTTTGAGCTTTTGCAAATGTCTATGTACCTTAACAGAAAGAATTCCTGACTATGAAGCATTTTTAGCATTTACATTTGTAAGCTTCCCTCACTGTACAAAAAAAACATATCCAGCAGTGACGACATGAATGCATGATGTCCTAAACTGTGAATTTTGTGTACTCTTGAGCTGTTTTCACTCCAAAAATGAAAGTCCTTAAGCTGTGTGACTCAAATCACATTTAGGCCTGTCATGTGAATATAGCATATGTGGTTTGATATGCAGCTGGTGATGGGTGTGTGTTCTGCATATGTTTCCTGTTCTTATAAAGATACCTGCCCAGAGAGGTAGACCCTCTGGTGTACAACATGTCCCATGAAGACCCTGGCAGCGTCTCCTACTCTGAGATTGGAGGCTTGTCCGAACAGATCCGTGAGCTGAGAGAGGTATACAAAATCCTACAACAATCTGCAATTAAATCGTGTGAAGCAGATGTTTTTTGGGGAATGTAATACTCACTTTCTCGCTACATGTGCTGTAGTCAAACAGTCTGTCATACGGTATGTGTTTTATTAGATGGCATTTGCATGTTTTGGCTTTGAGCATGGGGGAATTCAGTTTTAGATGAGAAACACACACTACTAAGACTAGCTAAATGTTGGTTTTTTTCTATTATCCAAACCAATGGTGTTCTCATTGCAGGTAATTGAGCTGCCTCTGACCAACCCTGAGCTCTTTCAGCGAGTGGGGATCATCCCCCCTAAAGGCTGCCTCCTCTATGGACCTCCAGGTTAGTAGTTCACTGAAAATACACTTGTCTTGATGATAATCAGAAAATTGAGGATATGCTTTGTACAGCAGGGACTGGCTCTACTGTAAACAAAGTTGGATTTTTTTTCAGTTTGTATGAATACAGGGTAACACATTTATCAATCTATATATCAGTGTAGTTAGGTAGTTGTTTCTTTGGTACTGATTAAGATTCCTCTTGAAACAGGCACTGGGAAGACACTTCTTGCAAGAGCAGTGGCCAGTCAGTTGGACTGCAACTTCCTCAAGGTAAGTGCATCAAGATGTACGGACACACTGCAGTGCAGTCAGCTCATGGTCTCTTTATGTGTATGCTGTAGGTGGTGTCCAGCTCCATTGTGGACAAGTACATTGGTGAAAGCGCCAGGCTGATCAGAGAGATGTTCAACTATGCCAGGGATCACCAGCCATGCATCATCTTCATGGATGAGATCGATGCCATCGGTGAGTGATGCTGAGAGTCTGGGTTGGTTTTTGTTTTTCCAGGAGCTTATATATTTGAATTGAAATTGAATGGTTTTTAAAGGGTATACATTTTCTCATGTACTCTGTTGTAAGGCTTTTATTGTGAAGCAGGCAAAGCTTCTTGTACTCTTGTTGCTGATGTCAGCAACCGCTAATTCCTCAATGAGTAAAATAGGCTACAAGTGGCTTCAGAAGGTTTTAAGATTTTACTTTAAATGGATAACGTTGCCATTTTGCCCATCAGTGTGCACTCTAACCCATCATATCAAAATAAAAAGCATGTTTTCTTTTTACAAAATTCTGCCAATTTATTATTTATAAACTGAAATCTCTCATTTACAAAAGTATTCAGAGCGCTTCAGGCTGTGCTCGGCAGCAGGGAGACAGGTGAAGTGAGGTAAGGACGAATGTAGCTAAATACAAAGATGTCCTTAAAGAAATTTTGCTCCAGAGTGCAGTGACTGGGACAGCTAGAGGTCAAAATGGCAGTTTTCTGAATGTAAAGTAAGATCTATGACACAAAGTGTACAAAAGTGAATATGTCTCACTACTTTCAAAAGCCAGAGTATATGAAGGTGTGTACATTTTCACAGCTTTTTTGTGAGTATAATGTGAATTCCATTAGCCCCCTAGGCTTACACCAAATACCAAGACAAAAACAAAGCCAAATTATATACAGTAAATAAAACAAATTAGGTAATAGTCTAACCGAAACGGCAGAACAAAATAAAAGCTGAATAGACACTAAACATGATATTATGTTAACTCCAGTATGCACTGATACGCGCTCTTTTATTATTACAAATGGGAATTTCACAGCCACTCACTGGTTCAGATTCTCTACTCAGCTTAATAATATATTAGGACAGGTCATCTTGTGTGCTCTGAATCCTCACTGCATGCTCAGTCATGTTTGTTTGTTTGTTCCCTGTAGGTGGCCGTCGTTTCTCTGAGGGAACCTCTGCTGACAGAGAGATCCAGAGGACTCTGATGGAGGTAAGACCACACCACACACATTACAACTGTCACCACTGTTGCAACCCCAAATCAAAAAAAGTTGGGACGGTACGTAAAATTAAAAATAGTGATGTTTAAATTATCTGTGTTCTGTTACAGTGAAAACAGTACAGCAGCACATTATTTGATGTGATACCTCATCAACTTTGTGTTAAAAAAAAAACAAACTGTGAAGAAAGTTCTTACATTCCAAAAAAGTTAGGATAGTAAAGTGTTTACCATGGTGTGATGTTGCCATTCCTTTTCACAGCACTTAAAAGATGTTTAGGGACTGAGGACACAAAGTGATTGTGTCATTCTGTCCCATTCTTCTTAGAAACAAGTCTTAAGGTGCGCAACAGTCCTGGGTCTTCGTTGACACAATTTGCGTTTCAAAACACACTGCTCACTTTTCACTTACAGTGTGTTTTACCAGTTAGAGAGACCAAAGTGTGTAAACTAAATGAAAAACATGAATGACCTATTGGAAAAGGGATTCATTTGGCCATGAAGCTTAACAAATCTGTGTATTTTATCAAGTTGAAATCGGATCCAAAAAAGAACCGGCTATCAAAAACCATCCTGGACTACAATGCTTTTTTTTTTTTTTCCTTCATAGGATACACTTGACTTTTCATGCGTCTTTGTCTAGTTGAGAATACTTGTTTATTTGTTCACAGCTTGTACTAATAGAATTGTTAATTTCCAGTGAACTTTGTTACAACAGTATTCGGGCCACTGTTAGGAAAAAATAAACTCTCAGGAAGATATTGTAATTGATATGTTCTCACACACTAATGTGATGTGTGTGTCCCTTCAGCTGTTGAACCAGATGGACGGCTTTGACACGCTGCACAGAGTCAAGATGATCATGGCCACCAACAGACCTGACACTCTGGACCCTGCCCTGCTGCGACCTGGCAGACTGGACCGTAAAATTCGTAAGATCTCCTTCTGTGCCCGCTGATTATATGTTTGTCTGCTCTGTACAAGCGCACGCAAAGTACATATTCTCATGTTTTTCAGACATCGAACTGCCCAATGAACAGGCACGTCTAGACATCCTCAAAATCCACTCCAGTCCTATCACCAAGCATGGAGAAATAGGTTGGTAACCACCTCCTCTACTCCCTGAGATATGCTCTTGCTTGTACAGCGTCATCTGCTCCCTGAAGCTGACATCCTGTGTCAGTTATTCTATAGCCTACATGATCAGTATAAGGTCACAGTAATGTTTTATTAGATCTGTCAAGGTTTTGTCCTTCTAATGCTGCTTACTTGTAATTCTGATCATTTAGGGACTCTGCGGCCTTATGCAAGTATTACACTAACTGAGCATCAGCTAAAAGACTCGTGTAAACTCAGTACCGGAAGGCAGGCAAGCAGCCACAGTGTAAAGATTCCTTTCAAATTGACCGTCAGTTTCCTCACGTTAATAAAATGCAGTTATTCCATTCACCTCGTGTCCTTGTCCTCTTGACACCAAATGATCAAATTTGGTGTCAAGAGGACAAGGACAGAGGGTAGTGTTTCAGAGCTTGCTCACTCTTTGCACACATACTGCTGTGTTGTTCTATATAGTGGTCAGTGCAGTGGCAGCTTTTTTTTTTAAATATATTTTGATTTTAGATAAACAATGCATATGTTTGTATTTTCTTTGAAATCCTGTAAACGTTTTACAAGTTTTTTTTTTGTGTACACAAATTAAGGTACTGAATAAAATAATAATAATTACTATTGTTACTTAAAGCTGAAGCAATTAGTTTACCAGTTAATGGTTATTTTCAGATTTTGAAGCCATTGTGAAGCTGTCCGATGGTTTCAACGGAGCTGATCTGAGAAACGTGTGCACAGAAGCAGGTTGGACATGGAACTGCCTACCCAGTATTATTAGTTTCACTGCCTGAGAGCATGTTATCCATGAGCAGCTCTGGTCATATGGACTTGTGTGTTTGCAGGTCTGTTTGCCATCCGCTCTGACCGTGAGTATGTCACTCAGGAAGACTTCATGAAAGCTGTGCGGAAGGTGGCAGATTCAAAGAAGCTGGAGTCTAAGCTGGACTACAAGCCTGTATAAAACCTGTGTCATTCCTTTTCTCTAAGTGATGTTTTGCAGTGCATTTTCATGAATTTGCTGTGTTCTGTACTTCAGGACCAGTTGATATTTGTGGGAAGCAACATTAGAAGGTGTATATTGCCCTAATAGTCAACAGCCACCAAAATGGACTTTGACTCAGTAACTAACAGAAACTCCTGTTGGCTGATCATTCTGGCATCCCACAAAACATTTGTGTAAAATAACCATGTGCTTAAATATACCATTATATTGTAAGCTCTGTGTTGTTTGGTTTCTGACTATTTATTAATTTCTCATCACCTTCAGCTGAGCGTGATTGGCATCCAGCATCTCAGTGAATACTGTGTGGTCTAATCCGTGGCAAATTTTATACTGAACTTATGAAATGAAGCTGAAGGAAAAGGTGATCTTTAAAATCCAAAGAAGATTTATTGATTGTAACACAACGAAATGAATGTTTGGAGCCGAGAGCCTTGGGCAGCTGCGTGTATACGCACCGCCATCACGGGCAACGGGGGGGTTTCAGTGTCTTGCTCAAGGACACTTCGACATGTGGACTGCAGACACTGAGATTTAAACCTTCCAGTTGGGAGACGACTGCTCCACCCACCGCACCACTGTTGCCTACCCTGTACAGAAATGGTTCTGTACAGGATTAAATGACAGGAGGAGCAGCCAACTCACAGAGAAACAGGAGCTCATTGTGGCTATAATTATTTGAAGTGGGTGTTATAAAACAAACAAACAAAAAAAAACTTAATAGTTCCTTTTTGAGAACTCATTAAGAAAGGTACATGCATGCCAAATGAATGTTTTAATTCGTCCTTACAGATCAGTTGTTGCAATCATTTATACAAAGTCAGATTAAAGATCAGGAATTGATTGGCTGTGGTTTTATAAATACTGTACAATCCTGGTAATGTGGTCAAACCCTCACATTATAAAACAAATATGCTAACAGGGTGGGGGTTTCTGGGGTATTGTGTACACTATCACTTTATCTACATCCTTTACAGATGTGAAAAAATTGATCAACCGTGTTGTGTAATTATTGGGCTCAGTAATTATTAAACCTTAAGTCACTATCACCTATATTTCATGTTTCACAAGCTTCCCATTGAATAGCTCAGCTGGCCTATTAAGGTATATCCACACAATACATGAAGTAGGACTGTCCGTGTTTGTGCCTGCACTATAACCATAGAAACAAAGATGTCACACTCTCAGTAGCTCAACTGTGAACTAGGAGGATTTTTTGCACAATGTCTGAACATCATCACTCTGACCACTGCTCTGGAAAACTGCATTTGTATCCCAAATCTACACTAAACAAATTTTAAGTAGCTAGTATGCAGACTAAAAAAACGCTGAGTGGAGCCAGTCTAAGGGGTTAATTTTGGTGTTTCCAGCATGATTTAGTGTCAGGGAGTTGCTGATTCAGTATGGAGTCACTGTTCTGCAGCTGGTCCCTGTGTCAAAGCAAATGACTCGACAACAAAAGCCCTGCAGATGGGGCAGTGCTGGAAGTGTGATACACAGCTGTCACACACACAGGCATGTCTGCAGGGCAGCAGCACCCTATTCACTGCTGCATTCTGACAGACTACACAGTCTCTACCTGTCCCCTCAGACCAGTCCTCCTCCTCCGGCACTGGACCTGGCGCCACTCTACTGGCCTCCTCAGTGGGTTCACTGGGTGGTGTACCCTGCTCAGAGTCAGGGCTCCGAGACCCCCTGCTGCCAGCTGACATGAATAGAGACTGCAGGGGAACAAGAGGCATAGTTTTCTCAGTGGATATTTGGATTATCTTAGCAGATAATACATTACACTAATGATGGCTCAGTACTAGTGAGCCGAAATGGATAATACTCGCATTGTTTTTGTTTATTGTTTCTGCTTATTTTTTATCATCGAAGGATTGCATTTTTAATTTTGTTGTACAATGTACAATGACAATAAAGTTAAAGTTAAAGTATCCTAAACGGAATGCAACCATCACCAGTAATTTTAAATATGAGAGCTGTTTGCTGTTCAGTGGGCTACAACTCAAACTCACCCATGGTAATGTCATAGTAACACCATTAAGGTTACTTAAGGTCATGCTGAGAGTTAACCCTCTCTTACTGGTAAAAAGTAATGGATGTTCCGGAGCTCATTTAAAAAATTTACAGGCCTTACTTTTTTCATGAGTAGGAAATGTCATTTAGTGCAGCTCATTGGTGTGTTTTTAATAGTGTTTGGACAACAATGGAGGTCTATGGCACAGGCGAAAGAGCTAAACCAGGTTCTCGATTTACAAACATTAAAGTAAGAATAAAATTCCACAAACTTCATTGTTAGTCTTAGTATGTAGTATTGTTAGTCTTGGTATGGCATGTTTTGAAATGAACAAAAATAGAAACCCACATGTCTTATCCTTCACAGAGGATCTACAGCAGGAACAAGATGCATTTGCTAAAGCAATAGTCTCCTGCAATACTATATGCTGCATTCAGAGACAGCAGGGTATCTATGGGATCACCTCATGAACTCATTCTTGCAAATACAACTGAATAAGAATTTACTTCAATCACAGTACTTTGGCATTATGAAATTCTACATCTACTGTGTTGCTCATATCTTCATCCTGGCTAAACCACTGGACTTTCTCAGAACCCTGGGCTGTCAAAAAGCATTTCAACCACAACTCAACTTTTTTGCTAATTCTGACTAATTGAGTTTGTTGGATCTCACATTCAGTTACAACAATGTGATCTAACTGTTGTAATCCCTCTTGAGCTTAGATCACAAAGGAGCACTGTCCTAAAATATGGATTCATCTGCCCTTCCCTGGAAAATAAAGGTCCTAAGTCAGTTAAAAAATAAAGAAAAGCCTAACCAAGGACATTATGTTCATAATAATACTGGCCTCCAATAAGATGGCTAATCTCACATCCACCACTGAGTGAAGCCTGATTTCCAAATTAAGTGAACTTTGAGAAGGACCCAATAGTACCACAGATGAACATCTGATGTCATGCAAGTAATTTACATATCTGACATTGCAAAACATCCAAATGGATCCAAACTGGACACAACACATATGGAAGACAGTCATCTATGGACACTGTACAATAACATCAAAATAACTGATCAAAGTAACCACTGGGATGTGCAATCAGGTGATACAAACCTTCATTGAATGGTGGTTTAAAAGAAAGAAGTGAAATTGTTTGGATAATGTGAGCAATGTTTGTGAATTTGTGTTGTCATCAGTCTAATTAAAGCACACCTAGTATTTATTCACTGTTTATTCAAAGTTTTAAAGGAAAACCATATGCTTTGAGAGTGTGCCTCTGTCTTTTTTTTTGGAGTAACTTTACATGTATTGAATATCAGTGGATCTCCTGGCTTTGTAGTATGATTACCTTTCGGAATACCACACTCTTTTCCATTTAATCAAAAATTTTAGATAAAAGGTGGAGCACCTGACTGTGTAATGGAAAATGTGACATACCTTTAACTCATACATGTTCCCTTGGGAGGTAAGAAGGTACTGAAAGAGAACCCGTGCAGAAAGGCTGTATTTGTCATCAGGAACATGAATAACTGTCACACTGGCCACCTGAATGATGAAAGAAAGCATGATGAGTCCTTTAAATTTGTATTTTTAATGAATTCTCTTGAAATATTTCCTTTCCTAAGCTAAGTGTTCATCGGGATATTGCCGTTTCTTTTTAGAGAGCCTGGGCTAGTCATGATACAGTAGTTGTGGGCCTGAAACAACCCTGGAGAGTGTAGGTGATGTGAATAAACAGAAACAGACTTGGTTTGACCTACAGTTTCAGTATTTGTGCCAAGTTGTCTTTTTGAACACATTTTGTGGCTTGATCAGTGTATAATTACACCTGATCAGTCTGGTGAGATGGACTCACTATGTCGTACTTGTCTCTGGCTTCTCTCTCTGCCAGCATCAGCACAGCCACAAGAGGGTAGTGATCCCTTGGCAATGGCCCAAAGTCTGTGATCCTCTGGTCAGCAGG